GTCCTGCGTCACATCCTCTGCTCGCCTCAGCTTTCGCTTGATCCCGCGCGGTCACGGGGATCTCATGTGCGAAAGGGAAGCCAAAAAGAATGACATGGACAAGACAAGCCAAACGGACACCAAACTGAAGAGAAAGGAAAAATACATGGTGACCAAATGGGGTGCCATGAGAAATCGCAGCTGCACAATGGTCAACTCATGGCTCTGAGCACCCAATTGCATTCTAACTCAGGCCCTCATACCCAATTTGGGATTGCCGGTTGGTACAGAAATGCGCTCCATATTCTTCATGAAGGGACCCACATGATTTTTCGTAGGGGACTTCCTTAAGCAAAGACAATCAATCTACAAGCAGTTTAACATACATCACCATGTGCTCTTTTTCTCAGATTACCCTAAGTTGGTGGTTTGGATTGCTTGGGGATTTGAGCAGGTGCTGGAGAGGGTAAATGGAAATAGAGGGAAGCTGATTTAACAGGGTCTACGGTCTACGGCCTGGTTTGTTAAACCAGCTTTGCAACCAACCCTGCCGCGGCTTCCAACGAATCGCTCGAATCCCGTTCATCCGAGTGGCGCGAGCAGGTTCTCGATTTCATCTTCCCTCGGAGATTCAATGAAGGCCAAGGTGCGATAAACAAGGTGGGTGGGTGGGTGGTTGGGTGGATGGGTTGGGTTGGGTTGGGTCGGGTCGGGTCGGGTTGGGTGGGTGTGGGTGGGAATGTGTGTGTGTGTGTGTGGGTGCGTGCGTGGGTGCGTCGCACGCGTCGGTGCGTGCGTGCGTGCGTGCGTGGGTGCGCGTGGGTGCGCGTGGGTGCGCGTGGGTGCGCGTGGGTGCCTGGGTGGGTGGGTGGGTGGGTGGGTGGGTGGGTGGGTGGGTGGGTGGGTGGGTGGGTGGGTGGGTGGGTGGGTGGGTGGGTGGGTGGGTGGGTGGGTGGGTGGGTGGGTGGGTGGGTGTGTTGGTGTTGGTGTTGGCGTTGGTGTTGGTGTTGGTGTTGGTGTTGTTGTGTTGGTGTTAGTGTTGGTGTTGTTGGTGTTTGGTTGTGTGCGTGTTTGGAAGAGATACACACCCTTTGGCACCGGCCTCATGCGCCAAAACGAGGCAACCAGGGCTCGGGGGATTTGCTCGCGATCGGCTTTCGACCTGGGTTTAGGCACGACAGATGGGTTCTTGGAGCTGAGGCCATACCATCGAATGCCATACCTCCAAAACCCAGGGCGGAAAATGCCCTGGTTCTAGGGAACGCTTCCATTCTTTCCAGGGATTCTTCTTTTCAGAAAACAATCAGAACCCCAGAAAAAAACCGCGATCAGTTTTTGAAAAGAACAATGGTTGAAAAGAATGGTTGGAAGGAATCAACCCCTAGAATCATAGATCATATGGCCATGGGTCATAACCTATGGCTCCATTTTTGGGGAACATCCATTTGCCACCTATTTTGATGTTCACCAGGGGTCCCATTGGTTTTTGAAAAGAATGGTTGGAAGGAATCAACCCCTAGACTGGTCCAACAAATGGGTTTGCTTGGACGGGAAAATCTCTCAAGTCGTGGGCCGGGTGCCCAGCTTTGGCTGGGTGAGCTTCTCATCGCGGGCTCGGCGGGCCTCACATGGCACGCTATTTTGGAGGACCGCCCTGAGTGAGTGGCTAGGTCCTCCACATTTGAGAGCTTAGAATAAGGGTACCATTTTTGTCATTTATGTCTTTTCCTCGGTAGTCTATGTTAGGGGAACCCTCCCAACCAAAAATACAAGGTGAGAAAGGGCGCTACTGGGGGACCTAGGTGGTGAACAAAAGCTAGGTATAACCGGGGATGCCAACCATGTACTGAAAGGGTATAAACGTCGTGTCAAACCAGGGAACCCCCAAACAGCTGTCCTTTCAGTTCCACCTCAAACTGACCAAGAAAGGTACCCTTTGGCGGTTGGTTTAGTTTCAAGGGGAAGCCTTTCCAAAAGAAGGAAAAAGGCCGTCGCTAGGCAACACATTTTAGGGTTGGTTGAAAGGCATGGGCTTTTACACTCCAAAAACATGGCGCAAATCGAGGATTTCCACAGACTGGGAATCGGTCGTCACCATGGTTGCGGACAAGATGCGAGTCCCAAACCGGAATTCGGGAATCCTAACACCAAGTGCTTGCGTCTTCAACCAAATGAGTAGGTTATCAAAATGCCACTAACCCCAACTCGGAAAGTGGTACATGAGCAGCTTAAATCGCACAAAAGAATATCACGAGTTGGGTCCGTCCATTGTTTCGAGCATTGTTTTGGGGGAAGGGCTACCCTTTTTGGAAGGTGTTCAATATTTTTCAATCGACACCCAGCCACACCGGGAAAAACCAAACTTTTTCAGGGTGCCCCTTTTGAGGCCTCCGCCGCCTCCCAAAAGCCCGTCTGAGGCGCTGGCGCGCGGCTCCCCCATGGCGCGCGAACCCGTGGAAGATCCGTGCGTCCGCGTCCGTGCGCCGCGAAATCGGAGCGGGTGGAAAAAAAAGGATTCGGGGGGGAGGACAAGAAGTGGCCCCCAAAGAGTTGCCGGGTTCGTTTGCTTTTTTTGCCTATTTTAGTAGGGGAACCCTCCCAACCAAAAAAGGGGGTGAGAGAAGGGCACGTAGCTGGGAAACCCAGATCTCGTAGTATGTTGGACATGTCATATTTGGGGCCCAGCCACTAAATGAAGACTGAAAGTTCAGGAGATTGAAGGTTTGAGTTGGGGATAAGGCAAAGGCCCTTCCGACAAAAATGCTATTGCCGCGCATCGCAATCGAGCGGAGACCCGGTGTTTACCGTTTGGGGTATCTTTGGTCCTTGGGCAGGTGAATTGAGCTTCGACAGTCACCACAAGGCAAGCCTCTGAGAAAATGGCAACGGCCCCCCTTGCGACATTGTTGGCAGGGGATCGGATGACTCACACCGTACCCCGTGTTTTCCTTTAAGCCACCAGGAAAAGTAGGTGATGGAGGATAGCTCTTTCATGGAGTCATCTATTACACAAGCTTTGCTTATGCATGGAGTCATAGGTGAGATTGCCATATAATGTAAGGCCGAAGGGTTTGCCAGCACTTCGCTGATGTGTTTTTGGTAAAACACATGGGTAATAAAAACAAGTCGGCAAGTCGCTGCGAGCCAAGTCGGCAAGTCGGCGAGTCGCTGCGATGCGCGAAATGACAGTTGGATGCTTTGATTGCGGAGCTGGGTGCCACATAGAACGAATGTCGGATTCATAAACTTCCGGTTTTTGTTGTTCAGTGAGATTCCTTCACTTTTCTGGGCCCGTGTACCGGGCCGGGTCTAAGGAGCAGGTTTACAAAACGTACTCGTCAGGATCTAATCATATCGAAATTATTGAGGAAGGGTCCACCACTTCCTTTGGCCAAAAAAGTCTAAACTTTTAGTTTGCCACGAAATGACCTTCCCAAAAAGTACAAAAGTCAGGCTTGGGAAGCTGAATGTGCAGGCACCCCGGCCGATTCATCCATCCATTGTTGTTTTTGGGGGGCATCTTGCCTGGCCGGGGGAGGGGTGAAGGTTGCATAAATCTGAAAGGATCCTCCCATACCTTAAGGCACCCAATTTCACTCAGAACACCCTCTAGCAAAATGGCCACACCCCCCCTTTCCCCCAATTCCATTAAGTGGGTGGGGATCCCAGAGCAAAGTCTGCCACTTCAAAAGGGTTCTTCCTAGGGCTACGGCGAGAGATGCCACCTGGCCCCCCCCCAACATGTCTCGCTCTGCTGCCCAAGAACCCGCGTTCGCCTTTTTGGGCCGAACCTGGACCCAAAAAGGGGGGCTTAGGTCTCGGCGCAAGTGAAGCAACCCCAGAATTGGATTCCCAAAAGGAATCGCTTTCCACACGCCTGGACCGGTGAAACCGGTCAGAAAGCTTTGGAGACCCAGCACTTCCAAGACATGACGTGGGCGCGAGGGTTGTACCAAATGGCCTCCCCGTCTGACACGGGCAACATAAGACTTGAGTTTGAACAATCCGATTTGTTCCCTGATTTCGTTCACCCGCAGTACGTTCAGAAAGGAAAGCCGCAAGTCAACTGGCTATCGTAGGAGTACAGATTCCAGCCAGGTCTGGAGAAGCTTGCAAAAACCAGCACCCCTCTACTGGCTTCCTTTTGGGGAAACTAAAGCCAGTTGGTACTTAGCACCTTTGGACACGCCAGAAGTCAATCATCCGCCTGTTTTCTTTGCATGGCTTTGCTGCTGCCGATGGATTCTTCGTATGCGCTCTTCGCACGGCGATCGCTACTGAGTGAAACGTCACTGCCACAGAGGACGGACACAAAGAAAAACACTCTTATCAGCGGATGTAACACCGGCGGATGTATACGATCCCCCTAAAGCAGGTCGCTTGGGATGTATGCCTTAAGGCATTGGTGCGGATGGTCATTTCACAACTTGGCTCCAGCTGGGATTGGCTTATCGACCATGAGGGCTTTGTCTACTCCAATGCTACTCCAATTGGCGCAGCTGGCCTGGATTTTGTCCTCCGCGCACTTGGAAGGGTGAATCCCGGCATCCCTGTACACCCATGGACGCCTGGAGTCAAAGCACAAACACATTGGAGGCAAAGCTCAACACATGCTGACAGAACATGGGCAAGTTGCTTGGCCAGTGTCCATTGCGGGAAACTTGGCTCCCCCCAATCGCTCCAAACCATGAAACAAGTTGCTTCGGGAGGGAGGCAACGATCGTTTTCGCGGCACCTGGAAAAGCGAGAAACGTCGCACTGGACGAAACCCATCAACCAACTCGCCGACAAATGGAGTTTCAGGCTTGCAAAATGAATAGGAAGGGGCAAGGGGCTGTGAGTGGTCGGTTGCGGACCTTCTGGGGGGATCCAATTGAATGAAGCAACGTTTCCCCCTTTAAACGTCACCCCAACTGGTTATGGGTCCGTCCCCAACATGGAACCCTGGCAAAATGAAACTAGGACTGAAACCTGCAGTTTTTCCTGGTGGTTTAGTTTCGACCCATACCTAACTCGCAGAAAGGTGAACTGTTTGGGACCCTGGAAGCCCAAAAAAACAACTCAGTTGTTCCGTGACCTTGGGAAAAAAGGAACCCTTCTTGGGGAAGGCCATTTTTCGTGGGGCAGCCACCCCCCCAAAAAGAAGAAGAAGGGGAAAAGGGGGTGCCACTGAACAACTGAGCCAGCTCCACCGGCCAAACGCCGACCTCCCAAGCCAAAGGCCCGAGGCGCCTATTCCAGCAACACCTCGCGGAGCTCCTCCGCCTCGCGTTCGGCCGTTAGTCGGTCCGCTTCCCTCGGTTGGGAGCCTGGTGGATTGGAGTGGGTTGGGTGGGTTCCGATTGGTTTCCCTATGTTTCCCTTGTAAGCAACAAAAAAGGTTGGTCTCCGTCTGGCTTCGCTTTGCACTCCCAAACCAGGACCTCCAAACAAAGCCAGCCAAAGCAGCTTAATTTCTTTAACTACTTTCCATGCTCAGCCCCTTCAAGCAGGCTGTTCACACCAGATCCTTCATCGTGCCTGTTTGGGGGGGAAACAACCGGAACAAAGGCTGGAACGAAAGCACAAAAACTCGACAAGGACTTGGACGCTTCTGACATGTTTGTTGCCTGTATGCTACATAAGGCGGCTGGAAACAACACTGCTATCCCCTGTTTTTTTCTTTCTGGGCAAACTAGGTCTATTTAGCACGTAGCCCCTGCTGTGTCATTTTTTCCGTAGCATTTCAATACTATTGACAACAATACTCTACTATTGTCCCGCCGCACCCAAGTTGTTCTTCAAGGCTGGATCCTCCAAATCCTGCAAGCCAACCCCGGAGCTGCTCCCGGAATTTCCCTCGGAGTCTCGGTGGTGTGAGTGGCATGGGCTTGTTTAGAGTATATCGTGGATGCTAGGCTGGAATTAGGACCCCAGCAAAAAGAACAACATCTTTTTTGCCTGGTTAGTGGAAAGCACGGGGACCCCAAAAAAGCAAAACAAATCAAAAAGGGGAGCTCTTTCTGGGGAACGATGAAGGATGAACCAAATCGTGCCCCAGTTAATGGGCGGTTGGTCCCAGTTAGCATTTCATCCATCTCAACTGGTGCCGATCGATTCGCACGGATTTTGCCCCGCCCCAAGGAACGCCATCAAATGAACATCAGTCATCTAGTAGCCCTGTGGACCCTGCAAAAGTCTCCTGAAGCCTCCCCATGAAAGCTGCTCCGGACCACCCGTAGCTTATTTGGGCAGAGAACCCAAGCTTTCAGATGCTGGGGGAAGAGACCAGCCTTTTGTTTGCACTTGATGCTGAAAGGTGTCGCTGAATTTGCTCCATTGCTTAAGGCCCATGGAAACATAGACAATTTCCACTAGCGATAGATTTTCTTCAAAACCAACAGGGAAAAATACATAAAACGTCTTCTCAAGCAACTGGATGCTCTAAAATGGAACCCTCCCCCAAAAAACAACAAAACGAAGGGGATGAAGCCAGACCACCTTCCGGGCCTTCGACGATGGCGAGGAAGACGAGAGCTTGGTCGCCCTTTGGCCCGAATGGCCAGATGGTCAGTGGCGGGGGTTCTCCGGAAGCTAAGGGCGAAAGGTCAAGCCCAAGAGTTGGCTGGATGCTTGGCGACTAGTGTCGTGCTTTTTCTCAATCTCGGTTGATTTTTTTCAGGGTGTGCTGTGCTGAAGGGAAGATAAGACCAGAACAATACATGTTTCTCGTGGCTGCGGGGGACATATACTTTGACACAAGCCCACTTGGATGCCACCAGGCAATGGGGAAAACTCCTCTCAACGCGGACTTATAAGTGGGGTGCAACCGAACGGCCGAACACCCAACCAAGCCCAAGTCTTCAAGTAGCACCCCAGCTAGTACGCCAGCGACATGCCGCCAGTTGTCTAGTGACCATGGAAAGCAATGGAATCGTTTTTTGGTTGACCACTCTCTGGGGAAGCCATCAAATACAAAGGAAAATAAAGGTGCCGCTAAACAACTCGGTTCTGTTCTGCCCGCTTTTTGTCGCAAAGGTGAAGGCTCCACAAAAAGGAACTGGACGTAAAGAACCGGCTGCCAAATGCCACGCCGGCGTGTTTTGTGCGTTTCGGGCTTTCGCTTCTTCGAGCACCTGGAAGAGGTCCAATCCGAGCGTACTGTGCTGCGCCAGCTACAGTCATTCGGGGGAAATATTCCCCTCAGTTCCTTTCAAACTAACTACTGACCTGGGGGTAGTAAATAAATATTGACAACTTTTGATCGATTCAGAAGGCCGGGAGTACCAGTCAGGGATGGTTTCCGTCTTGGTGGCAAATTAGTTCATTGGGGGAGTCCCCTCAGTATGTATGGCTAGCCGCACAACCTCTTTCCAACAATCACGGAAGTAGACAGGCGGGTCCGGAAAACTAACATCCTGTTGAACCGCCCGTCAGCCCAATGCGGAGAAAAAGTTAACGTTGACTTCGCCTTGGTATGGTAGCAAAAAATATATGTTTCCTTCCCCTGCAAATGTGTGAAACCAACAAACCAAAAACGAC